TTCATTAATTTGAATGCGGATATAACAAAACCGTTTTCCATAAGTACTACTCTCTTGCCCTGCCCGGCTTGGAACAGTGGTCATATTTGGACATGGAAGGAGCACAAAATCCCTTTAAAATGGTCCTGATATTGCATTTTCAGCACGACGCCCTCGGTAAAACTTTCCACGACCAGTTGACGAGCTTCTATTTGGTAACAGCGGCCTCTGACATCTCGGAGGTTCTCTCGGTGTATTCTCCTGACTTGTACTAGTGCTTGAGCTTTGATTTCCTTCAAGTAAGGAAGAAAGTTCTGAAGCTTTTCCTAAAATTTCCTCCACAATCTTCTTACCATTATCAGCAGCCATCTTGTTTAATCATGAACTATTAACCTTCCATACTGCGCATGCGCAGTGAAATCTGGCGGGAAAATTATTCTCGTCTCCAGATCTACTAGGTACGATCACGTGACTTGACTTGGGATTTCAATCGATCCAGCAATTTTTCAATCATCGATCGTTATTCTCGTTCAGTAGTTGCAATTTCTGGTTCATAGCAATCGATTTCTCGAAATCCAGTTGCAATGACGATCACCAATCGCAAATCGATACACTTTTGATAGGTAGAGTACAAACAATATAACCGTGAAACTTTAGTAGTACTAAATAGCACAATTACATGCAAATTCCATTGTTTCCTATTGTTTGATAGACCTCTTCGGCTCTGACGTAATGTTTTCCCATTTCAGACCACGTCATTCCCTTGAGTATCATTTCTTTGTTTAAGGTTTGTGCTCGGTTGCACATGAGAAGACACATGATGATATGGATACAGCTCAAACAAAGAATCTTATTCTCAAGGGAATGACACGTGGTCTGAAATGGGAAAACATTACCCCAAGCCGAAGCGGTTTATTAGCCCTATTTTGTACTATTTAGTAATTAGTGTTTCACGGATTAATCGTTTGTACTCTATGGCTTGCCATACCCCTGCCAATGAAGGACCACAAAGTGTAAGGGGCTTGGGAAGGGATAGAACCCTACCATATTTTGATAGGTCTCAGTCTCCCTCCCAACTTTTTATCTTCTCTTGAAGCTAATTTTCACATATTTTCCCATTTCCAGAGTGTTGTGCAGTCCTTGTCAACCCAATTCCACACACATTGATAGGATTTCCAGGGTGGATGTTTTTAGAGTAAGGCATAGTTAATGGAGTGGAATGGCTTGGAAACTCCATAGAGCAAAGTYATTGTTTTGTCTTTGATGTTGAATTGTACCCATCACGTGTTACTGACAGTGTACAATGAACCAAAGCAAGTATGGCTGAAAATGCTCATTTCCTTATTATTTTCATGAACACTTTGAAAGTAAAAACTTTCACTCCATGACCAAAAACCATGCGAATAAATATTTCCACACAGATACATTTAAGTTACTATATGATCAATAAAAAAGCATTAAAAAGGGCAATTTCATATTCAATAAACAATTAATGTTAATCATATAGGATTAATTAACAAATACATATTTTAGAACAAGTTTTAAGGGTAAAAAACTTTTATATTCCCTAATACTGTGAACAAATGGAGAAACTTTTCCTTCACTGTGCACTGTCAGCGTCACATAACAATGGATAAAGACGAACAAAAACATAGAATAGGTTTCCTAACCATTCCGCTCCATTAACTATG